AGATGTAAAGAAAACCATAGTGTCATTGCTTTTCTTAACAGTTCTTATTTTTTATCTATAATCTATGGATGTCATGTTTGACATTTACTTATAATTAAGAAAGTTAATGTAAAAGTTAGATAATTAAAAATTTAAATAGCAGTTACAGAAATACCTGAAATAAAGGCTTTAAATGTTGTTTTTTTGTCTTTACAGGTAAGTAAAATGTTTATTCAATTAAGATAAAAGTGTAAAACATGTAAAAATGTTAAGGGTAATAAAATTTTTTGTCTTTACAGAAAAACACATTATCTTTATTTCACTCATCAGAGTGTGGTAATATTATTATATGTATTTAAAAAGAAAATTCAAAAACAATTGCGTATTAACAAAATACGAATTCGAGAAGATGAAGTGATTTCGTCCCTGGTTATTAGTTAATGGAAAAAACCAGTTAAAGGAAAAAAACAGCCGGTCCCCATCTACTTGCCGTACGCTAGCCTGGCCGTGAGCGTGTGTGCGTTAAAGGGCTGTCAAGACTTAGATTTTATTTTTTTTAACACCAGTTTTTCGTCTTATCTATTTTTAAATATTTGTTAAATAAAATGAACATTTGCATGCTACCTAACTTGAAACTTTCAGCTATGTCGGTCGTTTTGGGGCTAAAAGATGTAAGTACAAAACAATTGATTACGTTGACTCGGAAACTTCATATCATCCAAGGGAGCATGAAGATGTTGGTGGTTTTTTAACCGACTTTTAAAATAGGAGGAGGTTCTCAATTCGACTGTATTTTTTTCTTGTTTGTTAACTCATATTTCTTTATTTGATGGCCCGATTGTGACCATTCTTTCTTTATTTGAAAGCTAGTGCTTGCCGTGTGGTCCCAATTTAATTTGGTCCAGATCTGGCAATGGATTTCTATTAATATCCATTACAACCGCCTGTTTCAACAATGGAAAATATTATACCCAGTGATTATCCTTGGACACACGCCGGCATCAAACTGACCCGTATAAAATTATGGCTAAATTAATGTCTCTGTAATCTTACTAATCTTATACAATATAAATCTCTATAACCATGTCATTAAATTTATATCGAGTAACCTACATCGATTTATTAAAAAAAAGGTCCATCCTCAGTAACTTACTAGTATATAAAAATTACCTATGTAGTGTTTTCGCGTCTGAGGGCCAAGTTGATGCTGTGTATTTAGATTTCAGCAATGCCTTTGACAAGGTTGATCACTCCTTGTTATATCTCAAACTTGTCCACTACGGTATACACGGGAGTTTGTTAAGGTGGTTAGAATCGTATATAAGCAACTGTTCACAGCTTGTTACTCACAAGGGCTACTCCTCATCCCCCATCTCGGTATATTCAGGTGTTCCTCAGGGATCACACCTAGGATATCTGATGTTTGTAGTTTTTATAGATTATCTGATCGGTCGTTTAACTTGTCATAAGACATCATAAGGAGAAGCCATCGACTGACAGGCTTTATGATGATGTTTACAAAATCTTTTAAGAGTCCTTATAGTATTCTGAGTCTGTTTTTCGGTTTAGTGGGTAGTGTCTTAGAGTATTATTCTCCTGTCTGGTTTCCTTATTATAAGGTTCACGTGGATAGTCTGGAGAGAGTTCAGAGGAGGTGCCTGAAATATATTTCATAGAAGCATAACCTGGGTCGAACTCCGGTTAGTTACTGTCAAAAGTTATCCAAGTCGATGTAATGTCTTTAGAGCCCCGGCGTAGAAGATACGACCTATTTTACCTTCATAAGTTATTGCATGCTTCTATTGATGCACCGGATCTCCTCGCATCAATAAATATTGTATCTCGTGTGATAGTGGCAAAGGTGTTGGACTGTATTGGATAGTATATTATCTCAGCATTTAGATTTGCATTATGACCAATTTGGATTTTGGGCCGGTTTATCAAATGATAGTGTTATCTATCTGTGTGTTAAGCAGGCCGTGCAATACTATAGAGCTAGAAAAACTATATCTGTGTTAAAGTTCTAGTATACAATTTTTTTAATTTTTTTATTAATAGCTTAAGGACATAGATGAGATCTACGGTGGGACGAGCTTAGCCAGAAGGAACCTATTCACTCTTGCCTTAAATAGGTCTGGGTTATATGCACTCGGAAATATAGACACCGGCAGGGCGCAGTACAAAAGATGAAGAAAAGCACTTTGTGCGGTATCTTGGGATATCAACTAAATGAGTAGAGTATTCCATCAAAAAAAATTAAACAGTACAGATAAGCGGTATTTTTTCGGAACCTAACCAACGGATCGATCTCCATGAATCACAGATTATATCCACTGAACACCACTATACACCAAGAATGGTTCGGAAAGCGATTGAAATATCAAAACATAAGATTTTCAATAACTGTCAAGTGTCTAGAATTCAGTGGTTCGTATTTAAAAAACCGGTTTAAAAAACCGTTTCGCGATCAGATACAGTGAGCGTTGGGTGTCGAGAACACGTGCGAGTTTCGAATTCTATATTATAAATATCGGACAACATCACATACATTGCTCAGATTCCAAGATGAGTATTATTTATTTTAATACTTTAATAAACGTAGTAAAGTATAAACGAAGGATTGGGCAAACTCTTGGCAGCAAACCTTTGAGGCAGAAAGCGCAGCCAACTATACACAATGCGGTACTGATGCTAACGCAAATGTATGGAAGCGAGAAAGTAGAATAAGAATAAATGTAGTTGACATAGGATCTAAACTGACACTTAAATAATGTTATTAGCATCAAAGTTAATGATTATACAGTACAATGGTGGTCAAAATGAGAACATGGTCGAGGTTTTTCTCCAATGGAAAATTAACCAAAGAAAAGGTACAGTCATGTTTGAATAAAATACTGGTTTTAGTCCGGTCTTTATGACGTAATTTATAACGGACTTACAAAAGGAACCGAGTTAAATGAAGAAATATTTTTTTCGTTAAAATATAAATGAGACCTTTGCTCATTACTGAGCAGGTCAAAGTCTTTCTAATCTGATGCCATTTTGTAAAGTACCCAAAAGGGATTATTTACATCTACATATTATTTTTATTTCTTTAAAGATACATTCCAAAAGAATAAGTGTTTAAACTTTTCAATAAAAAACTTTAAATGACGCCGAAGTAACACACTGTAAAGGATACTTTTTATTGCACCAAATTATGAAACATATGCAGAGATGTAAACTTGTAAATTAAGTTTATTGGACGAGGTTATGGTGGAGTGGCTTCAACGGATAATTAATAAAATTTTCACACTTGTTTGCATTTCGGTACACTCTCAATAGTTTATCGTACAGTACTATCTGGCTTGAACTAAAAGTTCATACAAATGTGTTATCATATCTATATCAAATTGAAACTGACTAACAACAGTCAAAAAATCTGAACCGTATCGTCGAAATAAAGACAATCATTCTTAATGAACATTGCTAAAAAACTCCACTTTGTTCCTGGTACGCTGTGATGGGATTTGAACCAATGACCTTTTTAAGCAATTTTCATTAACAATATTTTTCAGTATAGCATTACATCATCATCATCATCGACCCTTTTACGTCCCCACTGCAGGGGCTCAGGCCTTCCTTATGGATGGTATGGAGGATGGGCCACAACCCTCACGCTGGCCCAATGCGGATTGGGGGGTATTAACGACTGCAAATGCAACCGGGACCAACGGCTTAACGTGCCTTCCGAAGCACGGAGTAGCTCGAGATAATAATTTTTTGGTCACCCATCCCGTGACCGACCGTTGCGAAAGTATAGCATTGTTAATGTAAAATTGGTCAAATATAATATTATTATTATTATTATCATTAATATAGAAGAGATAAACAAATGATAGAATGACGATGGCTGAAAAAGCTTCGATAGAGCTTTCGATAGAGAAAATGATAATAAAAATGTGCATTAAAGAGTCATTAGAATTTTGCCCTATTTATGTAATGCTAATGACTCATGAAATAGTGACAGTGTGTACGTGGATGTAATATACACTCAAATCTAACTGATACATTATTCGGCGACATTCATATGACAACGTCTAAACTAATATGGTTACCCTCGCAGATGAGATAATACATTATGGTTTCTCGACTATCCCGAGTGTTTATTAACAGCTTCGCCTAGATTTTGATAAGAATCGAAGAATATAGAATATTGAAACCCGTCGATCTTTACAGTAGAGTTGTTGAATATTGGATCGTAAGAGTTGACTAAACTATTAAACGAATTAAACCCAACAATCGCAACATGGTTATTTTTCGGATTAAATTCAACAAAATTTATGTTGTCTATAATTTAAGCCAGTGTTTCTCAACCTGTGGCCTACGGACCCCTGGGGACGAGTATTTATTTTTATTTATTTAATACTTAATGCATTAATGTACAAAGGCGGACTTAGTACCTTAGGCATTCTCTGCCAGTATATGGGGTTACGCAGTTTTATGGACCGTCTTATAATAAATTAATAAATATATCCAAAAGCACCATTCTCCATAAAACGAGTTTCTTTATGAAAATATTATTTTTTGTACACATATAAGTGGCTTCAAATTTGTTGCTTTTTTATTAAAAGGATCGTTTGAAATCGTACTTGACTTCTAAGAGATTCGTTGATATACAGTACCTACTAGGTACTTTACTTTTATTAAATTTCCTCCAATAGAATATATCAACAACTTTTTTAGGAGAATGCCAGATACTTTCAAAATTACTTACGGAACTATTAAATTCAGCGTTTTAATATTTATTTATACAATAGTAAAATAATTATATAAAAAAATATAAACTTAAGTATAGAATAAAGTTACACACAGGACAGATAATTATACATGATAATACTACTTATATGATGTAAAAAACTTTTAAAACAGCGATTTTTTTCAAAAACTGCATTAAAAAGTAAAACCGTATTAATAAAAATTAACATGTGATCGTTATAAGTCATTCGTCAATCAGCTACCTAAACAATAAAAACTCTTGCCTGCAAATCCAAAATATTCAATTCATGTTTCCACAGTCGGTATCACGAAATCTCGCACATAGATCAGGTAACGGGGCTGATATTCGTAACGGTTCGCACTCACACTGTGATCATGTAACGAGCGGGCGGCAGGCGAGCGACGCCGAGTGTTGCGGACGCTGCCTGCAGTGCGCGACTGTCCCGCGCCTCCTACACGTACACGCGTCACGCGGCGGACATCGCCCGGGACACTGGCGTCTGTCACGAGCGGGGGCGCGCCGGCTACTGCCGCCCGCTCGCCCGCCCGCCTCCCGATACTCACAACCCAGCCACTGATATAAAGGAAATATCTCACCTCGATCTCTGTGTATCACTATGTCTGTAGTGATAGCTCTTTTTACTCCACGATTACTGTCCAGTTCATAATGTCTAATTCCCAAAACGTCTAACGATTTCAAAATTTTCAATTCCCAAAAGGTCCAGTTCCCGAATTGGTCAGAATCGGACATGTATCTCTTAAAAGATACATATCACTTTATTCGGTAGAGTGATATGTGATTTGCGCAGGTCTACGTGTGGTCCGCCCGCGCCCCCCGGGCGGCCGGCGCACGCACGCAAAAGGCGGGCGCGGTGGGCGCGGGGGGCGCGGAGGGCGCGGAGGGCGCGGCCCACAGACACTCGCGTACAACTTCGGAGGAGAGAACTCTTCTCAGTTTATAGTTTCTTCGAACTACGCTGAGTACGAGATACCTACCGAAACTGCACGAGCATAACCATACCTTATAATATAAAGTAGTATAATTCTATTCCATTGAATTTAAAACAAATTAAATAGATAGGTAGTTCACCGAGATATTAACGACCTCTGTGGCCGAGTGGTTCGCACACCGGTTTCTCTGAGGTCCCGCGTTCGATTCCCCGTCGAATCAATGTAGAGAATTCACTTGTCTCGAATACTCTATAATGCGGGGGCCACTTATCTTGAAATCTGAGCAATGTATGTGATGTTGTTTTATGTTTATTTATTTGTATGATAATATAACATATTAATATTACACAGTACTCATAAAAACAAAATATTATCTACTAAAAGAACCAAATAAATCACATAATACGGGCTTTTCTTTTGAAATAGGACGCTTATGGTGAACGCTTAGCGCCACACAAAGGTGGACAATGAAAACTCATGAGATTATTGTTGGTGAACACCTTTAACTCATACGTTTTCTTACAAAAGGTAACCCAATTGAAGTAAACATTAACTGGGTTTATATTATTTTGTTAACAGTTAACAAAACTAAACTAAAACTAAATTTCCACTTACAATTGCAAATAGTGGAAATTTAATTTTTAGCTCATCCACAATGAAGTATGAAGTATGAACGGCACTCCACTGTACTAAAGCTATATTTATACGTTTAATATTTCATAGGAATACACGTACGATGAACAAATTATAATTGTGCTTGTAAACGACCGTTAAAAAAATTAAAGCGTTTGAAAAAGCAGTAGCGGTCGCAGAATAGGTCCTCGAGGGATACCTTTATTCAGTAACTCCGAGGGTTCATTCATACATTTATGATGTAAATTAGCAAGAGTGATGAATTTAATATTGATGCTTGGATACATTTTTAATTATGGATACTCTAACTAAACCAATTATTGACGTATTTAAAGTAAATAGTAGGTAATTTGTTTGTAAAATTAAAACCTCAGACCAATAAGTGATCTTATATACGCATATACACATTATCGTTATAGCAGATGTGGTGACATACTTTATGTGCGATATAAACTCTACTGTCATTGTATTTATTAATTACGCGATTCGTTTCATTACAATACCTTCTATTTATTGGTAACATATTTCTTCCGGAAAAACTTGAAAGGAACAAATTAGAGGGCGTGCTTCAAATTAAGAACCTTGTCTTAGTAGGGCCCTACGAGACCTTCTCCACTCGTATACCTATTGAGATTGCGGTCACACTAGCGAAAAGTGCAAATGCCAATATAATCATAATTTAAATACAAAAATTACAAACATTTTATCTTTATTTACTACGTTCTTCCAGTCCTAAACTAGTACGTATCGAAACATTTGCCTTATGGAAATAAGAAAAAATGACGATGTACCGAACGAAAATTACAAAAAAGTTCTTTAAATACTTAATACTGCTTTTTAAAATTAATAAAATTAATGTTGAAATCTCATCGTTTAACCAGATTGTAGATAATTCATTAGCGGGAGATCGGCGCGTCAAGTCGGAATCAGTGGGAGGTAATTTCCTCGCGCGGAGTCAATTAAAACTTGCAACTGATCGCCCGCGGCGCTTCCTGCGGCCCGGCGGCTGCACCTCCTCCTCACTTCGACACTTCGAAACGCGTTATCGACACTTATATCATGAAGCGATCGATGATAGATAAGAAGGGTCGGTCGCGGTGATTCATTACATCGGAATAGATGGGGTCGAGACGGAATCTGCGTTGTAATCTAAACGCAGTGAACAATGCGCGGGCGAATTAATTTGGCGAGTTATTGGCCGCGAGCCCCTCAGGCCGCCGACGGTACTACTATTGTCTGAGCGTCCATTGTGTGTCTCACAAAGTACCCGTTGTGATGATGTCCGCCAGATGTTTCCACGGGAAATTAGTTTCGATCTCTAACCGGCGCTAGTAAAGCAGACCCGTTATAAACGTTAAAAATTGAACCTTGAAATTAGTCCGCAACAAATTGTATTTAGGTATCCAATTTCGTTTCTAAATTCTAACACTTTTTTGTATCAAAAATTGATGCTAAGTGTTCACTGAATACATTTTCACGAAGAAACATTCAAAAAGAGCATATCGCGTTATTCAAAATTTCAACTTGCGAAAAGTGAAAAATAAAAAAAGTTTACATGCGGAAACCTAGGAGGAAATAAACGGTGTGGTACGTACGAGGCACCGTTACAATACTACCTAGTCTCATAATTACAATATCTCTCTAATTGAATTTACGATGCCGAAATGACGTGCAAATTCACAGGCGACAACAAAACCTTGCCGTGCTTTAAAAGAACAAAACGACCAAAACAGTCATTTAATTTAATGAATCGTCACGTTTTATTAAATTTCTTTTTATGATTTAAAAGCAACGGTGTAAGGCAAATAACTAAACTCTATACGGTAAAATTGGGTTCGTAGAGTTTGAAGGTATTATCAAAAGTTTTCACAGAGCAGCGAGCGGCGGCGCTGATGTTATATGTTCAGTAGTAGGTACAAAGTCAAAGTCAAAGTCAAAATAATCTTTATTCAAATAGACTTCTTAAAAGTACTTTTGAATCGCCCAACATTTTTTCCCTACCACTCGTTCAGGACGTCTTTTGGCTGATAAGAAGAACGAGCAAGAAACTCACCAGCTCTAATAAGAGTAACGACATTTACAAAAACCAACAAACATATACTGTTAATTAATATATATAGAACAAAACTTGCCACTCAGTGCCATTTCCACTCACTGGAAAACCTTTAATGCTACCAATAAAAAAAAACTGGACTTGCCTACAAAGGATTTCGACGTACCGAAAATAAGCAAAAAAAAAGACGTTTGTCGTAAGCCCTCTTAAATATTAATTCTGTTTTTTAGTATTTGTTGTTGTAGCGGCAATAGAAATACATAATTTGTTAAAATCTCAACAATCACGGTTCATGAAATGCAGACTGGTGACAGACGGACAGATAGACAGCGAAGTCTTACTAATAGGGTTCCCGTTTGAATCTTTGATTAAGGAACCCTAATAAAACAGATTCGCTAACTTTGATACTAATTATGCCACATAAAGTTACAAGCCGACAGAACACAAAAAATATTCACGTTTTTATTAAAATAAAAAGGAACGATTCATTAATATCACTCACTCGCAAAGTCATAAATTATGTCTTGATATGTCACTCAGAACAAGAACTTGAACACTTGAACGTGCGCATGGGACAGTCACCTGTCCTCGCATTCGAATAAAAATCTTAAAGAATAATTGCTGATTCACAGTTTGCTGGTTGTTGCAGTCGGCAGGTAACAGAATGTTTACTGATGTTTTGGCCAAAGTAGGTTGTGAATGGTATAAAATTCTGCTGTCGAGACCATCAGTGACGAAATTAAGTAACTTTTGATAAATTGTAATATTGTATCGGAAACTAACTATCTATAGTGGTCATCAAGTTATGCTGATACAATAAGGAAAACGAATAGTGCCAATAGTGCCCTTGTGTCCGGCAGGTGAAAATATTGCTTTTTGTTTTATGTTCGGAAAATATGAACCATTTTAACTTTTAAATATTTAACAAAACAAATTTTAAGTCACTAATTTAGAAAACTTGAAAAAAGTAAGAAAATATACTACTCATATTTGATAAAATGCACAAATAACAAAGATATTACAAAGATTGCCCAGACGCCCATGCCTTGAACACGAAATAGCACCGTATCTCGGAAACTATTAATCGTATACGCATGTATTACTTCCTACATTATTTCTCAGACATCAATGGACTACTTATCTATGAAATAAAAAAAAGTTATCAACTAGCCCATTACACGAAAATCCTAACAATTTTTTTAAATATTTCATTATTTAAAAATAGCCCTTTTAATTTCACAGTCACACAAAACTCTTTGTATTAATTATTCCCTGTTCTTATGTTGCTGCATAATTCAAAGCCAATCCTGGCTATCCAAAATATTACCTACGAATGTTTTATTTTGTAACAAAAACGTATTGGATCATGAAAATAGCGATGAACGGTGGTGTACGCAGGAGCAGTATATGTATGTAGAGTGGCGTGATTGACCTCAGGCGAGCTCTCAGGGACAATGGGCTTCTATGACAACGCTAATTGAGCCCATTATGATCCTAATGGGATCAAGTTACAGCCCAAAATTCATTCGATGAATTTGCCCTCCACCTCTACTAAAAAAATCATTCAAGCAAGCACGATTTCGAAAGAATTAAAGAGCTATAATATTATCGGTCAGTTGCATAAAAGTCCATTAACGTATAATGCCGTCTTTAGGCTCCAATGAGTCTCAAATTTGTATGGGTAATGTCCCTTTAAAGTAATAACAATAGAAATGGTTTGTGCAATTGGCTGTATATGAAGTAATTCAAAGTGACAAAAAAGTTTTAATTTTGCTTTTACGTTTTAACGTCATTAGGTGGATTGCGTTTTGGTTAGGTGACGCCACTATTATTTTTTAGTTCATTTGTATTTTCATATTAGGCACTGGTAGTAAGATATACTCGAGAGAAACGTCGTTTTAGGGTGA